AGAGAACCACTCAAAGTGGGGATATGTTCAAAGCAATTGCTTATGTGATATTATTATCAAAATCTCCCCACACCCACACACACTATTAGTTGTTCCTTTTAGTTCGTACATTGAAGGCTTCGTTAAAATTCAAACATTATTTACCAATAGAGAGACAAATGAAGCTGTTAACAGTAAACTCAAATGAACTAATGCTTAATCAGTGAGGTCCTTTGTGAAAGGGACCAAGAAGTAATTAAGTTTTGAGGAGGAAAGGGGAAGTCCAGAATATGGGCTGATGCCTGGGGAGGGATGGTGGGGTTCAGCACTCTATAGAATGCTCTGGTAATCCAGGGACTTGTGTGAAAGCACTGGCAGTTCAGGTAGAAGGGGGCACTGCTAAAAAGTGAGGAAATGGGTAGATTCTAGAGGACTATAAAAAGCCATTAAAAGCAAATATTTAAGTGCCAGTTCTGCCAAGAGCTAGTTAGCTTGGTTCAGGCATGTCTGAGATGAAACTGGTCACTTCTTCACATTTTAGAAAATTCTCCTGCTCTCTGTGAAGATCATATCAATTAAGGTTAAAGAATTTTCAGGGATTGCCCTGGTTGGTGTATCTCAGTGGATTGAGCGCAAAGCCTGGGAACCAAACAACCGTGGTTTGATTCCCCGTCAAGGCACATGCCTGGGTTGCAGACCAATTCCTAGCAGGGGACACATGAAAGGCAGCTATTCATTGATATTTCTCTCCCTCTCTCCTTCCCTTCCCCTCTAAAGATAAATAAATAAAATGTTTTAAAAAATTCTCAGGGATCAATTGACTCAACTTTGGGGGGATTTGAAATATAATTTTTAAAACTTTTCTAAACTACAAAAGAAATACTCATTGTATAATATTGAAATAGTTATAAAATATATAGAATCAAGCCCAAAAGGTCCCCCTCAACACCCACCATAATTCCAGGCTCACACTATTTACAGCGTGCCCCACCCAAGATTCTTTTCTATGCACTTACTGGCATATACATATACCTAACATATTATACAAATACAAAAAAATTTATTTGTTCTGCATACCCATACATTGTTGTTCTTTTCTATTCTTACATTTTTGGATTTTATTTATTTATCTTTAGAGGGGAAGGGAAGGAGAGAAGGAGAGAAATATCGATGTATGGTTGCCTCTCATGGGTCCCCTTCTGGGAACTGGCCTGCAACCCAGGCATGTGCCCTGACTGGAAATCAGAGATCTTTTGGTTCTCAGGCCCTCCCTCAATCCACTGAGCTATGCCAGCCAGGGCTATTCTTACATTTTTTATTGTGGAAAAATATAGATACAGTAGCCCTCTACTTCATCCACAGGGTATATGTTCCATGGGGCCTGAAAATGCAGATAGTACTGAATCTTACATATACTGTTTTTCCTATACATACATACCCATGATAAAGCCTAATTTATAAATTAGGCACAGTAAAAGATTAACAACTGTAGCCAATAATAAAACAGAACAATTGTAACAATATACTATAATAAAGATTATGTAAATGTGGCATCTCTCTTAAAATTTTTATTATGTATTTATTGTACTTGTGATGATGTGAGAAGACAAAATTCTTATGTGATGAGATGAAGTGAGGTGGAATTTTTTTATTTAATATTTTCAAACTGTGATTGACCTCAGGCAGCTGAAACCATGGGAAGCTAAACCGTGGATGAAGGTGGGATCTACCCTAATATAAAATTTGCCATTTTAACCATTTTCAAGTGTTCAGTTAAGTGGTATTAAGTACATTCACAATATTGTGTGACCATACACTCTATTTCCAGAACTTTTTTCAATATTCCAAATAGAAATTCTTTACCCATTAAACAGTAAGTCTCCATTATTTCCTCCCTTCAGTCCCTGGTAACATCTGTTCTACTTTGTCTCTATGCTTTCCCTTCTTTTAAACTTGTATTTGAAGACATAATATGCAGATATTATTTAAAAATTCTAACAATAGGGAAAGCATATACAATGTTAAATACTTTCCCCTCCTATGCTCAAACCCCAGGCAACATGCATAATCAGTTTCTTGAGTATCTTACTAAATAGTCTTTGTATAAAAAAGTATAAATGGACATATATCACCCCGTATATTTTACAAAGAAGTAACCAACAATACACAACTTGGTTTTTTCATTTAGCAATATCTGATATGTGTATGTAAATAATGAACATATAATATATATGTGTGTGTATATATATATGATGTATATCTAAAAGGTATATATGTATAATTCTTATGTACTCACTCCTATGTTATGCTAGGGTCAACTTCTCTTCAATCAAGTTTTTAAAAAATATTTAATTTTTATTTTTTTCAAAAACACCTAACATAAAACTTACCCTCCCAACAATTTAAACTGTACAATAGTGTACACTGATGTGCAACAGATTCCCCAGAACCCCCCCAATCCTGCATGACTGAAACTCTACTCCCCACCTCCCTCCCGTGAGCCCCAGGCAACCACCATTGTGCTTTCCATTTTTATGAGTTTGACTACATTAGATACATCCTGTAAGTGGGATCATGCAGCATTTATTCTTCTGTGACTGGCTTATTTCACTTAGCATATTATCCTCAAGATTCATCTATGTCATGGCATATGGCAGGATCTCCTTTTCTAAGTCTGAATGTATATGCCACATTCCACTGTATGTATGTGCTACAGTTTCTTTATCCACTCATCTGTAGGTGGACATTTAGGTTGCTTCTAACTCTTGGCTATTGTGAATAATATTGCAATGAGCATGGGGGTGCAAATATCTCTTTGAGAGTCTGCTTTCAATTTTAAATATATTTCCAAAATTGAGATTGCGGAATCATATATTAGTCCTATTTTTAATTTTTTGAATAATCTCCAGACTTCTGAGCTTTTCACACAATGGTTGCACCATTTTACATTCCCACCAACAGTGTACAAGGGTTCTAATTTTTCATATCCTTGCCAACACATTTTATTTCTGCTTTGTCTCATTTGTTGATAATGGTCACTCTGACAGGTGTGAAGTGATACCTGATTGTGGTTTTAAACTCCATTTCCATGATAATCCGTGTTGTCGAACATTTTTTTTTCATAGGCTTGGTGGCCATTTGTATATCTATATCTTCTTTGGAGCAATGTCTATTGAACTCCTTTTTCTATTTTTTAAATCCTTACCCAAGGATATGTTTACTGATTTTAGGGAGAGAGGATGAGTGAGAAAGAGAGAGAGAGAGAATGAATGAGAGGGAAACATTGATCAGTTGCTTGCCATATGCACCCTGATGGGGGATTGAACTCAAAACCTAGGTATATGCCCTGACCAGAAATCAAACCCCACAACCTTTTGGTGTATAAGTGGATGCTCCAAGCAACTGAGCTACCTGAGCTACTTGGCCAGGGCCCCTTTGCCCATTTTTTATTTGGTTACTTATTATTTTGTTATTGAGTTGTAGTTCTTTATATATTCCAGATATTAACCTCTTATCAGATATATGATTGTCAAATATTTTGTCTTCATTTTTGCCCTTTTAGTCTATTGATGATTTTGCTGTGCTGAAGTTTTTAAGTTTGACGTAGTCCCGCTTTTCTATTTTTGCTTTCCTTGCCTGTGCTTTTGGTGTGACTCATTAACTTTTACTTCTCTTAGGGCCAGACTTTCATCAGGATTGCCTGATTGTGATTTTTGTCTTTTGGTTTCCACCCCAATGCTCTGTAGCATATTGTTGAACAGAGGTATTGCCTAATTGCTATTGGTTCCCTGGAGGGATACACCCAGAGCTACCTTAATTTTTCTGGACTTGTTCCCATGCACAGTAATGAGAAGCCTATGTGTGTGTGTATGGGTGTGTGTGTTTCATCCAATTTTTAAAGCTTCTTTCCCCTTCATCTCCCTTTTTACTTCATGTTTGGAACAGAATCTACTCCTCCCCTCTTCTTAACTCTGGAATCCTCCTTGTGAGTGGGGCGTGCCCTCTGAGCCAATGACAGGTCAGCCACAATGCTGATTTCAGACCAGTGAAAGCTTCTAGGTTCCAGATGAACCGATTAGTTTATTAAGGACATTGAATAACTGGACAGCTGGCATCTGTTCTATTGTACTTTGAGTAAGGATCCTCTAGTTTTGCCCATCAAGGACTTGAATGTGAAAATGAAACTACATTGTTTTTGTTGTTGCTGTTGTTTTTTAAATTTTGGTGGCTTTAATCCATCCCACAACTTTTGACTAAGGCCAATAAAACACAGCCACTCACTATTTGTAAAAGGAAAGAGGGGTTGGGTTTCCTTCAATTGTCTGCCTTTTTCTGTCTCCTCCACTTTTTTTGTTTTACTCTGTATTTAACTTTGCATAGAGCAGCTTCATCGGAGGACCTGTGCTGTGGATCTGGGCTCTTATCTCATTGCTGGTTGCAAAGACCTTTTCGTTGTTCTAACCTGGGGGTTTGTGTGTCCAGGGGGATGGCATGTGGGAGAAGAGTTTGGCCATAATCTGCTTTCTGCATTTTCTTCGCCCGGTCTCTCCCTCCTCCCCCCTCCCTCTCTCTCTCTCTCTCTCTCTCTCTCTCTCTCTCACACACACACACACACACACACACACACACACACACACACACACACATTGGCTTGAGCTCGCGCGCGCGCGCGCACACACACACGCGCGCGCCTGCCCGTCCCCTTTCGTGTGTCCTCCTTCAAGATGACAGGGCTCTGGAGAAAAGGCTGCTGGAGTCAGCTGGTAGGTACAGTAGTAACCCGAAACCCACCCACTCTCTGCCTTGCTTGCTCAGATTTCTCCGGTCACTACTGTCCAGGGAGAAAATAAGTAAACGCGACTCCAGATGAAGGGCTGGGGAGCTGGGAGTGGCGGGGGCAGCGGAAGGTGAGGCCGGGAAGGTGGCCGAGTGCTCCTGCTACAGTGAACCTTCCCCATGCTTCCTCGGAGCCTCAGCTTCAGCGCTGTTTGCCCCCACCCCACCTCCCTTTTCTAAGGGATTGTCTTTTTTTTTCTCTGCTGCGGCGGAAATGACAGTGTGGTGTTGCCTCTGTGTCATGGTGCTACCCTTGGGCTGCGGGGGCGAAAACTCTTAAGTTTGGCTCCAGAGACCCAGGCGCAGGATCGTCTCGGCTGACTTGAGGTCCCTGGCGGGGCGCACAGGCGGGAGGATCCCGGATGCTGCGCGGCGGCAGCGGCTAAGACGAAGGCGGGCGGCGGCCTAGAGGGGCGGCGGTAGCTGCGGCAGCGGCGGGGGAGCTCACGCAGGAGCCCGAGCCAGGTCCAGGTGGAAGCAGGCGAGCGTTCTGCGCCCTGGGGCGCGCTCAGGAGATGGCTGGCACCCGGGAACGCTCTGGGTAAAACGTGCCCCTTCGCCACGGTCTCTGGGATCCCTCGGCCCCCACCCGCAGTCGGCTGGGCCCCAACTCTGGCGGCCTCTCAGGTGTCGTAGGAGCTCGCCGCGGGGGTAGGGCTTCTGGGCTCCGCAGGGCAGGGTGACGGGGCCCCGCGAGGCTCAAGGCGACTGCAGGGGTCCCGGTCCGGCCTTGGCACCCGGTTGAGCCTTTGGGGCCCGGGCGCTTGTCTCTGCTGCCCTCTTGGGACGGAGTTTGCACTCTGGGGTGCGTGCAGAGAAGACACGAGGCCTCCCCTTCAGCCCGGCAGGGCCCGGAGCTGCCAGTCTAGCCGCTCCTATGCTAGGAGCACCTTCCCACGCTCAGGCGGCCCGCAGCCTTCTGGGCCGGGGCAACGCCCCTTGACCTGCTGTCTGCTAGGCGTTGGCTCCTGTGGCGGCCAGGGATGCTGAGGACACCCTGCCTGCGAGGATGCCTCTCGAAACTCCATCCTTTTTTGCAAGGGGAGCAATGCTTGAGTGTCTGTCTGTGCGATTCCTTATTTCTGGCCTAGCTCTGAAACCAGCTTAGTGGAGAGGGGAAACTTCTGTTCACTGCATAGACTGCGGCTGAGTTGCGGAGAGGCAGGGGTTTTCCATTTCTGGTTCGTAAGAATTAAGTAAGTAGTGGTGGAGTAGATTTATAGAAATATCTTTGATGATGATAAGGTTTAGGTTACTTAGCACTTCGTATGCAGCACATTATTTCTTGGAGGTGTTTCTCAGAGTAGGAAATTAGAATTCTGGGTTCATTGGGTTCTTCACTGTCTCTTCCATACTCCCCACCTGCCTTCACACTCACTCACTTTCTTCCTACGTTGTCACCCACCCGTCTGCCCACCCAGATCTCTCACCAGAACCCACTTACACCGCATACCTTCCCTCCATCAACCTGTGTACTTCCAGCTTCCCAGCCATGCAGCCTCTTGCTTTTCATCCAGTTTGCCTTTTTCAGAATTTTTGAGTGTGGGGCAGGTAGTGAGTGATGGGTTGTATGTATCTGAGGAGCTCTTATAAAAGAATATATTGGAGACTATGTAAACAGACAAGTACTGTGTGAGAGTTGATTCCTCTCTCATGTTGGGCCATAAGGGCTGCCTTTAACCCCCGTCTCTGCCCTCCGTGTACTCGAATCAGTTATCTGGCTATGCTCCAATAGAAGGGAAATGCTGAAGAGAGTCCCCCCCCTACTTCCTGCTCTACCCCTAACCTTCACATACCCCCCAACCCTCTCCACTCATCATGCCCTGAGAGGAAAACAGACTGCTATTTTTATATATTTCTGGCCAATCATTAACTTAATACAAATACATAATGTGAATTAGTTTTTCCTGATTGTTCCCACAGCTTCATTTATGTGGTTGGACACAGGTCAGGGGCCAAGATGATCAGAGAGTTCATCCTAAATTTGATGTTGCATTGGCTTTATTCATCTGACCTTTTTTCATAATTGATGCACTTGTGTAAATGGCATTATACTGTGTAGTAAATATTGTGAGTCTTGGTCTTTTGATGATGAAAGGGTTCTATAAGTTCTCAGAATTACATTTTTTAAAAGAAAGTGATTCATTTACCTTTTTATCGGTATAATAGATTGACTGGGTGTAAGTAGGAACCTTAGTTTCTGGAAACCTTAATTTTCCATTATTAACCCCCTGGAGCCAAATCTTTCATAGTACTTAGGTTCTAAGTCTGTTTTTTGCCCCTAATGCACATACAACCAAATGAAATATACATAAAACTAGACATACAGAGTAACAATGATTATTTTAAGTCAAAGCTTAAATCATATCTAATATACTCCAACCTAACAATCTGACTCAGGCTCATTTGAAAACATAACCTCACTCATTTTTAACCGTTTAAGGGGGCAATTAGTTAATTTCTACTAAAAAATGGCATAAATAATTTTAGATGTGGCTATCTGTGTAAGCATGATTAGTATACAGCAGCAGTGAGTCAATAGTAGTTATTTATTAAGTGCCTACAATGTGCAGATACCTCTGCTGACTGGGCTGAGGCCCCAGCCTTGGCCTAGTATTTTGGCCTCCTACTTGTTTGAAGCCTATCTCCTTACTTGCAGATCCAGGATTAGGACAGGGCTGGGCTGTGAGGGCAGGTTTAGAGGCTAGGGATATGAAGGGGTGATTGTTTCTCTATTGTTTATTTTCCTGACTACTAGAATTCTCATCTAGCATATTGTGCCTTGCTACCCCCTGGGAAGTACTGCCGCAAATCGGAGTGATTTGATTGCTTCACAAAGGCATCCTATGAACTGTGCAAACTGATTTAGATGAAGTTGGTTTAGTTAATCCCTCCTCTTTAAGTACAGGGCAACCTGCTCCAGCTTGCAGATCCTAAAGCAGTGCCAAAATTGCTCTGGATAGTGAGCCTATCTATTTGCTCATCCCTCCTCCCATAAAATCTGCTGACTCCATGACAGTTGAGAAGGAAACTGTAGAAGTATGTCTTTATCACTCACCAAACCTCACTGGGTTGGTGAAGAGGTGAGAATGTCTTTTCACTGTTTTCCTTTGCACTAAGCTCTCCTTCTCAATAGAGATGCAATGCCCTAAAAAGAAGGTAAAGACAGGACTGAGTCACAGAATGTGTCTCAAATGACTGTTCTCAGAGGTACCTGCTTGGCCTTATGTATGTCCGTCACTCAATCTTTATGGATTTTGGAAACTCCCTAGCTGTTAGGCCATGGGATTTGGGTGCTTGTGGAGGCACCCAGGGAGTGCTGCATTTCCATTTAGCATTAAGTTTTTGACTTCTGTGCAAAGGGAAACATGAAGCAGTGTGTTTGCAAAGCAACTCCTAACTTAAGTTGGGTGTCTTGATTTAGAGTCTTGCATGAAAATATGACATGTAACATGTTCATACTGGACATATGATAGTTCAGGAGAATTCACAGTTGTTCACTTTTTCATGAGTGAAATTTTGGTTCCAAGATGATGTTGCACTAATGTCTGTATTTTAGGTCTCTCGAAAAAAAAATGTGTTCATCTCTGAGCAGGGTAGAGAAAAGACTACAAAAGTGTTTCTCAACCATTTTATTGGATCATGCTAAAAAGTAAGAATACCAGATAAGTGGTGTTGAAAAAAGAAATTTAAATCAAATTATCCCCCAGTGCAGGCTACTAGTCCCCTGTTTATATTTCCTCTTTTCCAAGGATAAATATATCCTTGGAAATATTTATCTCTCCATTTTTCATGAAGTAAAAGTCTGCTAAGAGTCTTCTATGTGCATTGAAGGTTTGTGGGTGCTTCTAACATTTGTCTTTTTTCATCTTCTCCTTCTCCATGTCCATAGATAGACATCTTTTGGAAAGTCAGTCTCCCAGCTTTTTTATTTTCCTTAGACATCCTATAGGCTTCTGAAACTACCATTTGGTTAAAGTATGGGTGATGGAGGGGTTTCAAGTAATGTGCTAACATCCTACCACTCCCTTCTCCATGTGTGGTTCACTAGAATGCACACTAGGGTGTTGGTTTAACCTAAGTGGGTTAGCAAAATGTCCTTTGTAAGGTTTGTCCCCCTTGGGTTCTTGTCTCCCTGCAGAGCTCTGACTGACTGACTTTGGGCTTTGTCTCAGCCTCTTTCCTGCAGGTCAGGCTCCTTTAACTGATGAAAAGAACAGCATCTCCAGTCTCTGGATTTTACTCTTACAGAGACCAAATGATCTGATAACAAACATATAATCTAAAATCCTCCTGTAACAGAAAATACCAGTATTTACAATTTGCCGGGTTAGGAACATATCGTTTGGGCATGGTAGACAATGCTAATGCAGGACTGTGAAGTGTCTAAATGTATATATCCCAGAAGTAAATGGTTTATGGCCCAGAATCCTCTATCACTTTGTCTATAGTCCTTTGTTCAGTGTTGCTAGGATCCATGTGGTTCCCAGGGGAGTAGAAGCTTGATTTCAAATAGGCTGCTGTTCTCTATCCCTTGTTTCTGACCTGAACTTGGGGTGATTTCTGTCTAAAATGCAACAGCATGCCCTACATATATGTACAGTGACAATTTTATTCTGTGGAAGTAGAGACTCCTATCCATTTGGGTGTACCACTGAACATTATTTACAAATATGTCCTTGGGTAACAGAGATTGGAAAAAAAGTCCTAGAGTGGATAAAAAGCTGTACTGGTAGCAGTAAGTAAATTAAATTTGTTCTCCATTTGTTCCCTAACCTTGCAATTGCCAGTGCAATCTGCATTAAGATAAAGGTGTTATGAATTGTATTTAGAATTCCTGGCAATTATCATGTGTTACCTTGTCAAATCCACTTCTTGGTTACTTAGATTATATTTTTTGCAATGATAGCCTATTTAGGACTTTTAGTTCTGCTATTATGATATTCATTTTAATGTTTATGATGACTGTATTGTATAAAATACCCAGTGGTTGTATTTAGGAGCTAATTATTATAAAGAAAATATCATTAAATCTACATACTATAAAATATTAAGTAGGTTTTAATAACCTATTAGACAGGAAGTAACTCTGGTGCTCTCTGTCACTTGGTACTCAACCTGTAGTTTGAGCTCTCCCTATTCATGATAAAAGCTTAAGAGTAAAGAATTGAGACAGTACCTCCCTTGGGGAACTCCAGTCTAACAAGGGAGACATATGAATATAATGAATACCACAATAACACTCATGGTCCTCCAGAAAAAACTGGGAGAGTGTGATTGTCCTCTATTATATCAACCATGTGTTTAGGAAATTTTTACAAACATTTGCTGCTTTCCTTAATAACTTGCTTTGCATCTGTCATCTGTGAATGCATGATGAGACTATATTTGTACAGCAAATTAATTATTGTGTTCTATCTCTGATTCTCACAAGAGCTTCTGAGATGGGTAAGGCAGGTAATTTTCATTTGACAGATAAAGAGGTTGTTCCCCAAATAGTTTACATGTCTTACCTAGGATCACTCAGCTAATTAAGTTTAG